GAGGTGGAGCTGAAGATTGCTGAGGTGAAGTTGACGGATGCTGGCTTCTACGAGTGTCAAACACCGAGCACCGACTACGTCATCAGTGGAAATTATATTGCTCAGGTCCAACTCACAGGTATGAAAGTGTGTGTATATTTAACCATTCTGACCTATTAATACAGAGGTTTAAATCCTGAACAAATGTTAAATTTAACAAATGTCTGATCAAAAAAATAAAAACCTTTAAATCCAGGCACTCATACAGTACATATCTAAGCATACTAGCTGTCTTTGGAAACCATAAACTATTTCTATTTGCACATAATAATAAAAAACAAAAAATGTTACTGTAAAGTGTCATATACCAATATTATTTGAAGAACTGACGGGTTTCTTTGAGCCATAGTACAAAGCTCTGCTGTGCAATGATGTACTTTACCTTGTAACACTCAAACCTTGTAAAATCAAGTTAAAACTGAGGAGATAGCTTCCAGTTTATACACAGTATAAAAGCGTTTGAGCTGTCCCTATAGAAACTGACTTAATGCTCACAAAGGAGGTTTCCCCTCACCATAATCCACCAGAACCAATACAAAGCAATATCCACGTGCACTCCAGTGAAATGGCCCGATAAGGTCCAGGCCCGTGTGCTCAAATGGGACATCCATTAATGGTAAAGGGCACAAAGGCCCTTTTTGTATGACTGGCTGGTTAACCAGCTGACACTCTGGGCAGGGCAAGCGCTATTGGTGCACATCTGCCCGGCCAATAAAATTGAGCCATTATTCAATCTAGAGTTTTGTCATACCCAATGTGATTGGCCACTGGGTTGTAATGAACCACCTGGAAAATCATTTCCCGGCGACTTCAAGGCACCGACAACTGGATGTGTTCCTCCTCTGTGCGAGTGTCTAATCAATACAAAATGCAGAAAAGTCAGCGCTGCTTCAGGGTGCACCATCTGACCATCAATTCTTCTCACCTGGTCGAAGGCTGAGTGTAGGGTGTCAACACAAGACAGCTCCAGTAGAAAATCTTCTGTGGAGTAAATTCCAGGGCCTTCTCCTTCTCCTTCCCAGAGCTGATGTCGGATGAGCCCGTATCACCGCTTAGCGCAGGGCAGACCCCGCATGTCCCTATCGGCCGTCAATGCACCCGGACACACTGCCCTATTAATCTACTGAACCCGGGTCAATCTGGCGTGCGTCAGGCGTCGGGAGCAGCCAGAAAACCTATTCCTCAGCCGGCCACCAGGATGCCTCCACCATTGCCTGGAACGCCTCCAGGAAGGCTTTTTTGAAACACAAAATTAAAAAATGATATCCTAAAGTTGTGGATGTTAGACTTCAGAGGGTCCTTCACAAGGCCCCTTGGGAAAATTGATTGCCCAACCCTGCTGTAGAGGCTATCTTGGCACGTGCTACTTTATAAAGTCAATATTTTTACTACTAGTTTTTTTTTCTTTTTATAACATTGTTTGTGTGTGAAAATGTTTTTTTGTTTTGTTTTCCCGTCAGTCATTCCTAACACGCTCAAGGTGTCCCCTAAGACCCCGCCCCCTGTCATCGTTGAGGGAAGTGACCTAACTCTCTCCTGCAACGTCACCCGGGAGCTCATCCACCCCACCTACCTGTCTGTCACCTGGTCGGTGAAGAAGGGGACGACGTCAGAGGAGATTTTGACGTTTGGTCCTGATAGAGACTTGGTCACGGGGTCCAGGTTTGCCCAGCGTTATGCAGAAGGAGGCA